TGTCTTCGCTGTTCTTCTTGGACTAGTAAACTCTCTCTCATCTTCTTTTCTTCCTCCATTTTCGCATGAATCTGTAATCATCATGTGAATAAAAATTGGTGGCTACATACTGTAGCATAGCCTCTTACCAGAGACTTCATCTGTGCCTCGTTTTTCGTTTGAATGTGTTCTAAACATTTCCGCATTAATAGCTCCTTCATAACATTTTCGAGTTCCTGCTCTTCTATTGCGTCATTGATTACAATTAATACGGATTTACTATTCTTTGCCCGAGCCCTACCTGAAAAATTTAACTGAAAATTACTATTTGATGTACTATGAGCACGATCAATCATTCGGGCTCAAGTAAAGACAACTGAGAATACTCAAAATGAATATTACTTGGGAATTTAAGAATTACTTACTGTCAAATAGATCAAAAGTTCCAGAAGAACAAGACAATATTACCCCTTCTTTGAATTAAAGATGTCTGCGATCCAGTATCATTATATTTGATAATAAGGTTGCAAGCTGAAATATCCAGCCCCTCCTCCGCAACTGATGTAGCAACTATTACCTTGATAGAGCCTTTATTAAAGCGCTCTATAACCATTCGCTGTTCCTCAGCTGACTGTCCACTGGCAGAAAGAGACTGATTAGAACCTGAAAAATTGGCATTTAAAATATCCCAGTGCAAACCGAAATTTGAAAGTGTTCAGCAACTCACTTGCAACAAATCCTACAGCACGTGAACTTCCTAATATACGAATTTCGTTAAGATGCTCAGCAAGTTTTGCCGCCGACAAGCGAGTTCTTATAAAAATAATAGTTCGCGAATTCGGTTCATCTGCATACTTCTCCTTAAGAATAGCGTGCAACTTTTTCAGTATATCCTTGTCCTCCCCATCAGTTTTCATCGAAAACTTGTTCTCTTTAGGCGCAATGTTTCCTGAAATTCTTGCAACTCATCCGATAAACCGGATTTTTTCTGATTTTCTGCTAACAAGCAGCTTTACAATGCAGTAATTTTCAAGCCACATTTTGATTCAAAATAATTATCAAAATGACGGAAAAATCAATTTAAAAGTAAAGGAATATCCTCGTACTCTCAAAAAGCGTTGCTAAATCTCCTTCACCAGTATCTCCACAAACATTGCCAAGAAATTCAGCACCAGCCAACTTTTGCGAAAGGTATGAGTAAGCAAAATGAGTGGGCAATAAATCATTTAAATTGAGAGCATTATAGTAATACTGAAAAAGTGATATATTTTAAAGAACATGGGTCTTTTATTCTAAGCATATATCTACCTATTTCTAATATGCTTACATAAAAATCCATTGAAAAATCAAACAACTACAGAAGGACAAACAGAAACATGCAAAAAAAGAATTATTACCTTCAGATGTTCCAAAATCTTTACAAGTAAAGACTTTAATGAATCGCCTCTCATGTCTTCAACTTTTCTTAAAAGACTACCGATAAAGCTTAAATATTGTACCGAATGTGGCTTCTGAGGAAATGCCATTTCTTCCTGAATTAAAAAGCAGATTTTTAAAATTCCGTGAAACAACAACAAAGAAGGCGTAGAAGACATATCCAA